CCCCAAAACCCCAAAACCCCAAAACCCCACATCCTTAAAAATTTTAATCTTGACAATTTGAAAAAATACAACAATATATTTAAATTCAAAATGAACCCGCTAATATAAAATACCTCTCATTAGTCTTCTTAAAATTCTCTGCTTCGAAATATTACTAATGAGTAAAATAACCAATATAACAAGAATACATCTTAAAATTCATAAGCATTTCCAAGAGACTCGATAACATAATACTCTGATTAAAATTCACAGCTTTAAAACGATTAGAGTAGATTTAAAGGCCATTCAATAAACAGTAAAAATCCTCTATTAAATCCGAGTATAAGCTAGAGCAGTATCGTTTCATAAGGAAACTTTGATGATTATACCCGTTAACATATAAAGAACTTATTAAGAACTCAGCAGGAAAAATTGGAAGACAACTTTTCTAAAAAGTAACATAAATTTATGAAGGATTATGAAAATATGCTTCTTGAAAAGAATACTTAGATTCAATAGTTAGAGCATAGAGTAAAGTAGCTTAAAAAATACAAACAAATTACAGAATAAGAACTGCAGAGAATGAGCTCTCTGATAAATGAATCAGATAAATAAGCTTTCTAGGCTTAGAATAGAGTTGAGGAGCTTGAGATTCAGTTGGAACAGCTTTAAAGAGACATGAGGGAGACATAATAAAATATTAGGAATGGCTTCACTGCTAATAGTATTGAGAGTGCAGGCAATTCAAACACTACTTTTGGGAAAGAAGGATTGGAAAATATTTAGAATTAAAGAGGAATAAACTTAAAGAAAATTCAAGAAGAACATAAGCATGAGGTTGATCTATTTGTTAAAGAACAGCAAGCAATGATTGAGAGAATAAAATAAATGGAGTCAAAGATATAAGATATGATGGAGATTTAAAAATCCATGAAGGATGAATAGAAATTATTGTTAGAAGAAAATAAGCAGTTGAAGGAAGATCTATTCATAGCTAAGGGTGGAAAGAGAAAGTCTGAACTCTCAGATGAAATAGATCATCTTTCGATTTATAAAAGACTTGAGAATGTTCACACAGCTATTAAGAGTCTTTTAGAAGGAAAGCAATTTGATCTCGATTTGTTAACTAATCTGCCTCCATCCTCTGCAAGGGGAGCCAAAGATGAAATTAAAATGATGCATTTCAATAGAATTCTTACTATGATTAACAAGGTATTATGTGATGCATATGCTAAGTCATTTTCATCCTAAGTTGATTGCATGGTCCAATGATAAAACAAAGAAGTAGACCTATATAGCTTTTGGAATTAATTTTTAATTATAAGATATTTCTAATGATCCCAAGCATTAATGAATTAGGGAACTGTGGGGTTTTGGGGTTTTGGGG